CTCAAAAAACTTCACCATAGATTCTTTAATTGTATCAATTTAGAAGATCCACTGTATAAATTACCCAAGATTAAACATTTCACATCAATCAGCTCAATAGGCAAACCTGCAAATTTTCCCCTTAAAACAACTTTCTTGAATCAAGAAGGAATAAAATCCATCAATCTTGTTCCATTTTAACTCTAAATATAAAATAGCTTGAGAATCTCACCTTTAAGAGGTTACTGTTTACGTAGAAATCACTTCTGACAAAGCCTCACAACAAGCTCCTGCATCTTTGATGCAAAGATCACAAAGTAGATTTTGCCAAGCACCAGATCCAAAGCTTAACTTTTTCTTTCCCATTACCTCTAACACAAAGCAAGCATGGTCCAAGTTACCGCTTTTTATCAGACCAGAAACCATACATACAAATGTTGCAGGTGTGGGAGAGTGTCTGCTTGCAAGCATTGCATTCAAAACATTCAACCCTGAATCAAAATCCCCAATACGACAAAACCCGTCAAGCATCATACGGTATGTAGCTGCATTTGGCTTACAACCTTTCATCTGCATTTCCGTCAGCGTTTTATAAGCTTCGGGGGCTCTACCTTCAGCACAAAGATGATTGACCAGAATGTTATAGATCACAACATCTGGTTTTATCCGCCTCTTCTTCATCTCGCCAAGTAGAAGCTTTGCCTCATCGATTTTCCCTCTCTTTCCAAGATCATTCATCAAAATCCCGTAATTAACGAGGCCTGGTTTACATCCACGATACTCCATATCGAACATCAACTTCTTCGCTTCATTGTACTCTCCCTTACAACATAAACCTTTCATTAACAACCCAAACGTCACAGCATTCAGACGTATTCTTTTCTGAATCATATCTTCAAACAAGCTCTTTGCCTTGACTAAATCGTTATTTCGACATAAGAATCCAATCAGGCTATTGTACGTCACCACAGTCGGTTGCACTTCCATCTCAAGCATTTCATCAAACACCTTACAAGCAGCTTCCCAATCGCATTTCTCAAGAAACCCTTTGATCAATATATTGAAAGATACCGAATTCGGACGCAAACCCATATCCTTTGCTCCGTCGAAAAAGCTTCTCGCCTTCTCCAACTCGCTATTATCCACCAGAACGTTGATGAGAGTGTTCAGAGACTGTATCGTACGAACACAATCAAACGAAGTCATTCTATGGAAAACATCGACGGCTTTATCCACCGAACCGGTTTTTCCGTAATGCTGAATCAATGCCATGAAGAGGGATTCTCTGCATCGGACGTTTCGATAACGGACAAGGCGGAGAATATGGTCGACAGCGTCGAAGTTACGGGACTTGGCAAGCTTGTAGATGAGAGAAGAGTAAGATGGGTAATCGTGTCGGAAACCCATTTTCTGGTAATGGTGGAAGAGAGAAAGAGCTTCCACTGGGTCTTCAATTTCTTTGAGATCGGTGAGAAATGGCACCTCCTCCCATGGCTTCCTGGTGACCTTGTGAGTTGTTGTTGGTTCATGGCTTTTCGTTTTCCTCGTGGATTTGTCAGCTCGAGATGTATGGTAGTACTGTCGGGAGGCGATGCAGCGTTTGGTAATTAGAATAGAAGAAGATAGTTTTCTACGGTCTGACATTTCGTCGGATTCTCTCCGTCGTCTTCTTCTTCCTTTGTCAGTTTCTGCGTAAGTTTGATGTCTATGAAAAATCTGATTCCAATATTCATATTTTTGGAAGTTTTATTTTTTTTTCTGTTAATAAAAATCAATACACATCTTAAAATTTATTTGTGAAACAAATTTTTGCATTACATATTTATCTTCAACAAACGCTATTGAACCCGTCAGTATTAAAAAACGTACCAATCCTCAACTATAATTCAGCATCTATCATTGTTTCATTCCTTCATTTGTGATGGTTTCTGATCTTGCAGATCCAAGAGATGGGGAAAGATAGACAAGGAGGCTTATAAACCTTGTTGATTGTCCTTGCGAGCCGTGGTCTTCACAGTCTGGCCTGAAGGCTATAAAGAAAACAATTACACACACAAACTGTAAAAACCTAACAAGACGAAGCTGGACTAGAGAGATACACAACATTTGTTTGGTTAGCAAAGTACCATGGATGTGTGTTTTAAGATGGAGATGGTGCAGCTGCTGTTTGTGTGGTCTCGCGATAGCATAAGTCTCACGTGTGGGATGCTTTTCCATGTTTCCCCAAGAGCTGGTTTGGTTTTACCGCCTTCTCCAGTACCCACCGTGTGGTTCGTCACCTTCAATACAAAACGGAGTGACCAAAAAAGGTTTTTACTTCAAAGCACAATGGCATACCCAATGCCCTCAAAGTTCGTCAGTACCAGTACAGCGATGTTATGTTCATGTGCCAGCTTCTTAAGCAAATATCCAACTGCCACCATCAGAGCGCGTCCTGCACACACCAACTTGTGAGTCATTCTTCATAATCAGCAGCTCATTTGTTAACCATTTAGGTGAAGAAAAAGTGATGGACGTACAAGGACAAGTACCCTGTGAGCCACTGCCTCCAAGGATCGGGGTAATCAAAGAAGAGATTGAATCAACAACTAACAATCGTAACCGGTACTCATCCACATTCATCTGCACCTGAAAAAACAGATGGAAAACAAATGGTTAACACTAAGATGAAGTGACAATGAGGAAACTGCATCTTCTAGCCAGCTTAATACCTGCGACCTCAATGTAACCTCTAGGCTTTGCAGCGTATCAAACATTGTATAGATGTCATAGACCGTGTGACATGATATTCTGCTCATGACTTTCTGCACATATACGTTTTTTGCCATACCATTCAAAAGATTAAGAACTGATGATCGGGGATTAACTCAAGATCTGGTCCATAAGCTACGAAAATAAACCTGTACTAAAGCAGCATCCAAACTCGAGCAGATAAATTGAGCAATGCGTCTGGCAGAAAAAGAGTTCCCTGTGTCTATATACAAGACTCCGCCAACATGATTCTCTGCCACACTTGCAGAAGCTTGCATGCAAAACTATCCATTCGCAAGCAATCACACAGTGTTAAACTAAAAGAGTTAAGAAGAGACAAAAATGAAAAATCTTTCGAAGAACAGTCTCTCCACTCGCACACTGATATTACGTGGGCAGTAGTAAGACTTTAAAACTAGTATCTGTGATTATGTGTATAATGTCTTTCACACACATGACAAAAACATAAATAATGAATGCCTAACAGAAGCAAGCGAATACATACTTGTGTTTTACCAGAAGATGATGGTCCAACGAGTTCTGTCAGCTGACCCTCACGGAATCCACCTTGAAGCAATGAGTCCGTCCTTAAAACGATACAGTAAACCATTAAAAGAAACACTTACAGAAGCAGAGTCTCAATTCATAACAAGACAAGGTACTCTCTTTCTTTTCTCATGGAAGATAAGCCGATAAAGATATACATTATAATTCCCTAGTCCCTCCTCCCTACCCTTTGTCTCCAGTCGATAGAGTATGCTTATTACGTTGAAGATCCTCCAACAGTTCCATACCGTTCAACAATGGTCGACACTGAAGTTCTATCAAAGAAATCATGAGAGTGATACCCTAAAACAACGAAGGAAAACATGTAGTTATACCTTTGTTAAATTCAAAACTCAGTCAAACAAGTAAATGTCAGTAAGAGCTAACCTCTTTCAATCTAGCTGCATTTTTCTGTCGTTCAGCAAATGCAGCAAGTTCATAGAGATCATGAAGAAGGAAATCTTCAACTGCAGATTTAACAGATCAAGAAAAAGGGTTCAATTAAAAACCCATCAACACAAACATAGAAAGACGAATCCTTTCGGACACTAATCCGACTCTACAACTAGACATAGAAGCAAGAAAAACACCAAAAGCAATCCGTCGAACACCTTGTAAACGTAAAACAAGCAATTCTCAAAACAGAACCGAAACGAGAAACCGAGGATGAAGTAGAAGAGAACCTGTAAGAATTCCATGAGAGAAGCAGAAATCTCGGAAACATGCGTCGATGATTGGATTCTCCTTCTCTAGATGTTTGAGAGGCGACATTTCTACACTTGCTACTGAAATGTGACTTGAGAGACTGGAAAGAAAAACTCAAATAATGGCTTCCGGTTCGTTTTCACGACCCGGACTCTGAGTCCCGGTTTAATCCCAACCTTAGTCCCGGTTTAATTTCTTTCTAACTTTGATAAAATCTCATAATAATTACAGATATTTTTCTTTTTTTAGTTTATTTACTTCCTAAGTCGTTTTTTTTTATTTACATCAAATTTCTATAAAAATAGTATTGTACAAATCCAAAATATGTAAACTAAAAATATAGATGAAGACAAACAATATATATACATGTGCATTTTTTTTTTTTAAATTAGCATGTGCATATTGATGGTTGTCATTTTCCTATATATATTTAAATATTTTCACTATATATATGTGACATTGCTTGCAAATTTTATTAGTTTTCGACGATTTAGTTTTTATTTATTTAACTTTTAAGAAATTACTAACATGTAACACAATCTAAATAGATACGTCAAAATCTTATAAAGTAGGAAAATAATATGTGTCACATAGATACGATCGAAATGCATTGAAAGTTAACTAGAAAGACAAAATACACTCTAAAAAGTAAAAACAAACCATTTGCATATTTACTACTCCAATCTCCACCACTCTATATATAATAGCTTTGGTATCGTCACCTCAACATCGAAATCTTCTACATTAGAATCTCAAAACATGAAGTTCTCTACATTAGCATGCATCGCATTTGTGGTCGTAGTAGTATCGTCTCTGGCTCCGACCAAAGCAGTCGTGGTTCAAGCTGGTTCGGAGAATGTGGCATGTGTCGTGACGGAACTTATACCATGTTTGGGAGCGATACAATCCGGAGGTACTCATCCGTCGAAGGAATGTTGTGAAAAACTAAAAGAACAAGTGTCGTGTTTGTGTGAATACATCAAAAACCCATTTTATGGTCAGTATGTAGAATCCGAAAATGCTCACAAGGTCTTAGCGGCTTGTGGTTTATCTTTTCCTACTTGTTGAGGAATTAAAATATTTCATAAAATATAATCGTGAAAGTTATCAAAATCGTATGTAATATTGTTGATCATTGGGAGTTGATTATATTTCATGGTTTACTTGATTCAACAACGTGTTCGTGTATTATATATAAGTCGTTTTAGATAGAGGTGTCAAAACGGAAAAAAAAAAATCTGAATATCTAGAAAAAAATAAAAATTGCTTTTTTCCATAGACCCATCTTGGTTCGAAGAAGGATGTGCTATTCCGAAAAATATAAAAGTGCTTTTTTAAAAAGATTGTTTTATTTCTTTGAAACTGTAAAAGCTTAACAAAGAAAACAAGAACCAGTCCATAAATAAAGACAGGAAGATAATCAAGTTCATAAACATACTAAAGTAAGAATACTACCTTGAATTACAAGTAAAAAACCCTCAAAAAATCTTAGAGTGAATAAACAAACGATAAAAGATTAAAATGGTTATTGTTCTCCTTTCTTCACCTTCTGGACAGAGGGAAGAAAATGGCATTTCGTAGAGGAAAGTACATCAAACTAACTTAAAAAATCCAAGAAATGCAGTTGACTAATCAAGATGAAAACCGTAGTCAATGAGCCCGAAATATAGCTAATCGTGGTCCTAAGAAAATCTGAAACTAAAAATTATATGGAATGAAGCAACCAGATTCCATTTCAGATCTTCCAATTGAGAAAATCTCATATTAATTACTTACAGATATTTCTCTTATTTTTGTTTGTTTTCTTCCGAACCATTTCACTTCTAATTAGTCCTTGAACATTTTCAAAGATTTGAAAGCATCTTTTTCATATCAAATTTGAAATATCTATAAAAATTAATTAGTACAGTACAATTCCACATACGTGTGCATAGTGCATTAATGGTTTTAAGTTTTCTTATAATTAAATATTTTCAGATTTTGCTTGCAAATTTTGATCGTTTCTGATTTATGTACTTTTGCTTAAATTTTACTTGTAAGATATCGCTAACATAAATATTATGTGTCACATAGATATGATGATGCATCTAAATCTAATTTTAATTAAAAAGACAAAATACACCGAAAGGCAAAAAAAAAAACCTACTTTACGTATTGCAAACATTAAACTTTCCATCTGTAAAGTTTTCCAAAAAAAAAAGTTCCATCTATAAATATGTATATAACTAAAACAGATTTACTATCAACACCTCAAATTCAAAAACTCAAAGAAAAATTATAATTAAATTTAGAGAATCGCTAAGGTTACCAAACATGAAGTTCACTACATTAGCATGCATCGCAGTTGTTGTGATAGTAGTTATGTCCTCTTTGGATCCGACCAAAGCAGTCGTGGCTCGACGTTCGGAGGAAGAGGAGAAAGTGGCATGCAACGCGAGGGAACTTAAGCCATGTGTACCAGCAGCAGAAGCCGGAACTAAACCGTCGACGGAATGTTGTGGAAAACTAAAAGAACAAGAGTCGTGTTTGTGTGGATACATCAAAAACCCATCGATTAGTCAGTATTTTCAATCTGAAGGTGCTCATAAAGTCTTAGTAGCTTGTGGTGTACATTATCCTACTTGTTGAAGGTTTAAATATCTCATAAGATCGATAAATTATAATAGTGAAAGTATCAAAATCATATGTAATAAACTAATAATGTTGATGATCATTGGGAATTTACTATATTCCATGGTTTAACTTCACTAATTTAATAACCTGTTCGTTTTCTTATATAAGATTGTTTTAGATAGAGAAGTGTTAAAACAGAAAAGAAAAATCCCAATATTGTATTCGCTTAGAAGAAAAACATAAATTGGGAGAAAGCCCTTTATCAAAAAGAAAAAACATAAACTTTGTTTTTCGATAGACCCATCTTGGTTCGAAGAAGGATGTACTATGCTTAAAAGTTTAACTTATGAAAAACATATAAAAGTATTTAAAAAATGTAGT